ATCATGGCAATAATGGAGTATTTTTCATTATAAACTATGTTGTACAGCTTTTACAATCAGGTTTTTAATAGATCTAGAGAAATTAAATTGGAATTCTACCAACTTTTGTGCCTTTGTCATCCCATGAAAACGATGTTAAAAATTGTCAAGACTAATGTGCTAATCTTGTTTCTACTGAAGTAAGGAGGAGGTGGTATTAGTCCTGTTGTTTTGTAGGCCCCGTTGTTCATTAAGTAGTAAGATGTATATAGAAAAACATTCAGAAATATGCATTTCGCTGTAATCCCTAATGCTAAATAGAAATTGAGTATAGATTAAATAGGTCTTAGCTGATGTTACCCTAAAGTCCTTATCAAGAAAAATTCCCATGAAAACAGTAGAAACTTTCAAAGTCAGGAGGGTGAAATTGTGCTCTATATGAAAAAGGAAGCAATCGTGTTGCTGATGTGTATATTAATACAGCTGAGAATGCATGCATATATACATATTTGTTAATCTATTTAAACAATGTTTATTGATCGTATATGGTGAATAAACTCACACAATGAGTGTAGAGATTACTTTGTATGCGTAAACATACATATACTCAATCTCAGCATTGTACATAAATATGCACCATGAATAATGTAAGTCGTCAGATAGGAAGATTTTAAACTTTTCATTATATATAAATGTACTAATTAATAATGTTATATGAAATTTTAGTATTGTCCTTTAATTGTATCCTTCTGTTCAGTTCTGTGGGTATTTTTTATGAGGAGGTCTGCAATAGTGAAAAAGGGTATTTCTCAAATATATGAATTACTGCTCGTCTCAACACTTACTTGTCCACATTCTTCCTTGTTGTTAGTCTGTTCCACTAGCAGAAGACTGCAGGAATCAGTTAATAATCCCTTATATTTTAATTAATAATATGAAATAAAAATTAAATATACAGAATAGAATTATCAGCCAAGCAAAAATACGTGCATGTTGGTGCCCTCAATAAATTAAATTTTTAGTTACTTCCTATAATTTTTATTTATTCACAAATACAAGAAGAAATATGAATGTAGTTTAAATTTTAATTGGCATAACAGGCAATATTCTTTTTTTAGACATTTTGCAGGCAAAAATATTCTCGCATGTATAAAACAAATGCCATATGTAGTTTTACTTGCTAAGAATGGCAAAAGTATGTGTAAAATATACATCAAACACAAACTTCATGTGAATGAGCACAACTATAATACTTTTAAGTTTGTGTTCTAACTCTTAACCTTAAAAAGTTATCCTTACGTATCTTTTTCAGAGGGTGGAAAAAAAACCCACAAAAGTCCTTCCCCCAACCCACATATTAAAAAAAAAAAAAAATTAAAAAAGCCACTTGCAAAAAAGGTTAGCTTGCTGGCCTTGCTTGCAAATTCAGACATTGAAAATTTGGAGTCTTCCTTCATCCAAATAATATATATTCATTCCCCACAGGCAGCAGTGATGGTTCTTGGGATAAAGAAAAACTTCAGTCTCCCCCCACCCAAGGATCACAGGCCTCTGTTAACCACCCCAACTTGCCTGGACAGCATAATGTTCCAGTTAGCCATCCTCTCAACCCTCTTCAACAGAACCACCTTCTGCCAAATGGTACGGGTTGACATCTTTCAGCACTAACATGAGCAGTTTTCCAATTCCTGTCTTTATTTTGTGTTTATATAAATAGGCTATGAAAAATCAAAAATGTGGGGAATATTGGAATACTTCCTTTAAAGTATTAAGCAGGGGAAGTGGAGACGATAAAGAACAGATACATATGCAATAAAATTGATACTTAAAATAACTGCTAACCTGTGCATCAGTGGCATAATAATGCATTGCTAAGGCACCCTACAGCAGATATTAAAAAAGATAATAAACAGCCATTGCTTAGCAATGATATCATACATTACACTGATATGAACAAACTAAGAGGTCTAATAGCCTCTCCTTGTGGCTAGAAACCCTCCATGGTTGCTAGTGATTTACCCATGCATATCCCGCAAGAGAACTGACATATAGCTGCTTTGTCCTGCAATGTGAACCATCTTGTCACCCATCACTTGACTATTGTCCATCAGGGGAAAAAAAAGACAGTGTTTTAAAAAGATACATAAACCTATTTCCCTTTTTTTTCCCCCCCACCAGGATTGGAACTTCCTTTTATGATGATGCCCCACCCGTTAATTCCCGTGAGCCTACCTCCAGCATCTGTCACGATGGCAATGAGCCAGATGAACCACCTTAGTACCATCGCCAACATGGCAGCAGCAGCACAAGTGCAGAGTCCTCCATCCAGAGTTGAGACATCTGTTATTAAGGTAACTATATATTACCGAAAAAAAAAAAAAAATCTAGCACACCACAATTGTCGTAAATATTGTAAAGGTGGGCAGGTGTCAGATGTTACAAGGTAAGTCAGAAAGTCAATATATATGAGAAACCCAGCTGTTGTAGCTCTGGGAACACAGTAGGCTGCTGGTGGCCAGTGTTATCCTCTCAGTTCTCCTCCCCCTCTCTAAATCAGTATCAAAACAGTGCTCAAGTTGAAGCTTTTTCATACAGAATACACAGCTTTCTGATTTCTCATATTTCATAGTCTCTAATCTAATGGCAACATTCCTCAAGATATCAAGGAAGAAACTACTCCTTTCTTAAGTTGCAAGAGACTGTTCTTCCAACTTTTTAATCTAAGCATTTGAACTGAAATGCTGCAAATTATCTGAAGAAGGCTGAAAGGCTTGATACTTTACCTCTGCAGAATCTAAATTGCCGAATCCCAGAACAGAATGGAATAAAGTTGCACAGAACAGCCCCAGTATTCTTCAGGCTGGAACTGTAGTATTGTAGAGATATCTCAAAAATACCTGATATCTGAAATTGTCTACCCATTTTAGGTTTTGTTTGCTGCCTATAACTGAATTAATCTGGTTATAGAGATATTTAGCAGAGACACTGAGTCTTCTCTTCTTCTGACTGAAGATGATCTGTTTTCATTTTAAAGGCATTTCTCCCTTACCACTAGGTATTTATAATTTGATTTGACATTTATTCAGATGCCTACTTGTTACCTGTTATCCTTCTTTAGTTCTAACAAATGAGATACAGAAAGTACACAAACTTCTGTGCTTTTAGGTAACATTAATATGTTAGAAATAGACATGCGAAGGCAAGGTTATTTGATATTTTAGGGCTGTGTTGGAAATCTGTCCATTAATGCAATTCCTTTGACAAAAAATGGGTAAACTTAAAATCTCTTGGACCTTCAAATCAAGAGTTGCAAAAGTTTTGAAATTCATGATGATTTAAGCAGAGTGAAGAGGTCTGAATTTATAGAGATGTTCAACATGCTTATGCTCCTGTCCTCTTTAACCTAACAAGCCCAGAATTGGAAAGAACCATTCAGTTAAAAGTCAACAAATCTATGTTGCTATTGACCTAGAAAAATATGATCTGCTGACCTAATTTAGGTACCTGCACTTTCAAATGTAGGATCTCCTTTGGAGGCCTTCAGTGGCATCCCTTTCTCACCTTTGATGACTTGGGGAGTTAAGACATTGGTTTGAGAAGAATTGTTTCTTTAGGTGCTATGTCAGCAAGGCTAGATTCCACCCCTAATGTCCATCTTTCTCATATCTTGGGAATATAAACACTCTGCTGCTAACTAACTGTTGATTACATGGTGATTTCTGCACCTTTGTTTTTCTATTTTCACTTGAGCAGTATTTAGTGAGAGTTATATGATGCTAAAGTTCTCTAGAACATACGTGGTGCTCTGTTTCATTCTAAACTTATTTTCTTAATTGGAACAGTGACCACTGGTATTACAGAGGTATCTAAAAAATGAAGATTGGGATGGAGCACATGCTAAATGACACCTGACATGTATGAATTACTATGGCAACAAAACTTTGTTTTCACTATTTTTCCGACTATTTTCCCTTCTTTCATTTTCTGTGAGCTATTTGATTTCATACGAAGGAGTACAAAATTTGACCTTCACAAGCATTGGTAACCTGTTTCTAAACTTTGACAAGCTCACTTCTAGCTTGTGAAGTTGATTTACAAGCTAAATCTAGCTATTAAAGTTGCCTAAGTTACTGTGGCCTACATTTAAATATGTCTATGGTAGCATACCCCAATGTGACCCCTGACCTTTGTCTCCAGTTACCAAAATCAGGTACATTTGGATTGCAGCATAGCTCCTGGGCTATGTAAGAAAGGTTTCTTTTTGTGGAAGGCAGGTCCTGGTGTATTCCCAGATCTCACCCCATTATGGAACATTGCTGGACCCAGGAAGGACTTAACTGAGAAGTACTTCTGGCTCATCTGATCTAAACCTGTCTAGTAGGTTTAAAAGTATTGGACTCTGGAAGGGAGACTGTCATCATGTAACTACGTGTATTATTTTAACCATAGGCAGTGCCATACCAGCAAATTTTCCTTATTCCAGAGTTCCTTAACTTCTTAACAAGTTCATTCTTCTAGCTCATCTAGTTGGAAATATAATTTCATAATAACCTAAATGAAGATTTTGAAAGTACCTAGCAACTTTGGTTCTCTGTTTGAAACATTTTAGCAGCACTTTGTAACTGGAAAATCATAATTTTTTTTTCAAACTCTTGCTTATTTCAGCATTTGTTTGTATTAATTATCTACTCTATTTATCTCTGTCATTTCTGAAAATTCAACTATCCTGTACTCATGCTAATAAAATCTTCATCGTAGCTGCCAACTTTTGCACAGCTCCTGGCATAACATCTTGTGCAAGTTATTTAACAAACCAGGTTTCATGTTCCCATCTGGTTTGCACATAACCATAAATTAAAAAGATGTGGATTTTCAATGAATTGCTTTTAAATGGCCAAATTAACCTAAGTTCTGTTTAGAAAAGTGTGCTCACTCAAAAAAATTACAAAATATAAAAAACTCAAAATAGAAATCTTTTAAGGTTTACACAATTAAGTTGGAGTTTTGGGACATTTACATAGAACCTGATGGAGACACTACCTGAGTGCTGCTGTGACTTCTTCAGTCAAGGCCTGTGACATATTGCCCACAATACATTTGTACTACAGGTAAATACATAAACACAAGCATTAATCTGCCATCCAAAACTCACTTCTAAATGTAAGAGCTTGCTGTACATAGTTATTTCAATAATACTGTAAGGGCTAAGGAACTTACTTTTGGAGGACTTTCCTACTCTTCCCTTCAGCCCCTTTGTGGTACAACATATGTCTACATTTATGTCCTCTGGTTTTGTCTATGGCAGATGAATATGGTCATGTGGATAGAGATAGCACGGCCAAGTAATTATGTTCCTGTTTTTTAATGCTGAACAGCATTGAATCATAAACCCCAGCAACATAAAAGCATGAGGTCATTATTAGGGGGATTTTCTTCCCATGAGCATAGACATAATGTCACTGGCAATTTACCCGTTCCTCACTAGGCATAGTCAGAGGCTGTGATTTTAGTGTCCATTGAATTATATGCACTGAGTAGTTGAGCAGGAAACTCTCTAATCAGCAGACTTTTTGAACCTTGCACTGGCAATGTAAAGTTTATGAATAATAACTTATACTACAATCAAAATAAATATCTTAGAGAATAGGTGTAAGTGAGAAGGTCAAACCTGCTTTTTCTTTATTTTTACAGAAATGGATAAATAGTGCAGTTGCTGTCTTTCACAAAACTGTTTGTTATGAGAATCATATATTTTTTTTTTTTACTGCTACATTTTTAGACTTTTTGGTTTTCTTTTCATTATCTTCTGGCTCATTTTTTTAACCCTAATTTTACTTAAGTGTTTTTCCTCAGTGACAATGTTTCCACAAGTTGATACGGAAAGTCTGTGAATCACTCATCTTGGAGTTCATAGTTGTAACCTGAAATGACAGCATAGATTTGAAATTAGACTACAGAATGTTTACAAGTTTAAACTCTGCTTCAAAGTTAGAAGACCTATGAGAAATTTCAACTCTGAAAAGTAAATCAATAGTAACCTTATCTAATTAACAAAGAACAAAATTAAGTCTTAGAAAATCTGAGTCTTCAGATTATAAGCAACCTGGTTCATTGTATAGAAGAATTGCCTTTGTGAACAGTGCCATAGTAGATGACTTGCTGACCTTTCCTTCCAATTCACCGAGTTCACAGTTAGTGCTGTTATCTTTAAACTCACAAAGCTTCAAATGCCTTTCTATTACTGGGCAATATTTCATTTCTTCATGATAAGAAGTTGGAATAAAGCTGAGATCATGTACTGACCAAACATTTTATCCTGCTATGTTCAGGAGATGAGACAAAGACAAAATTACAAGGGAAGCCTTACAAAGCAACACCTTAGATTTGGCAGTGAACTCTGAGCTCTAAAATCTTCAGAATTATATTTCAGAAGAGTGTTGTGCCCTTTCGAACATGAGACGAACATTAGATGTCTTTTTGTAATGGAATGTTTAGATATATGTGTTGGATGAATAAGAGGAGAGCAACAACAAGCAGGGACAGCAGATTGTGACAGCAATGAATTGCAGTGAGTGTGACAGCTGTGACCTGGGGATGCTTTAGACATGAGGTGGCTTTCATCACCTGCCCATGGTTTCAAAGGCTCAGCTTGTTAGCAGTTTCACTACATCAGTTTTTTTCACTCAGCAGAAAGATATATGAAAATATAAAGGACATACCTCATATTAATAGCAACTTGAAATAATTCTACATTGTAAAAGTTAGAACAGAGCAGCATGCCAGCATCAAAAATTGCACTTTCTCCATAGAACGTTACTAATACTTATAGACAGAATTAAGAATAAAGCAGAAGAAACCAATACCTCCAGCTGAAAAAGTGCCCAGTGGCACAGTAGTTTTCCACTGCATATTAAACACATGAGACTAAATTTTGCTAATTCTCTAAATATATCACACCACTGGTTGCGTTATACTTGTTTATAACTTGTTTTTATATATATATCTTCCTGTTATCCAATAGCAGAAATTTACTATTAATTGATTTAACCAAGGTAGCTGCTGACATTTTTCTTAAAAATAACTCAGTTTATATGCCTATTCTGACATGAAATTTTATTTTAACGTTCATTCACTTTTTCATTTTTCATTGGCAACATGTGCGTGTTCCTACTGATGTAATTTAATGTTCCTATATTTTTCGTCTATAATTGTTGCCAAAAAGTCCAAATAGCCAAAGAGAAGAAATATGACACTGCCATACAGAAATGACGGAACAGAGTATATTTAAATGTTTCATGTCAGAGTGGTGGTGAGCAAGTTCAGAGAGTGGACCCGAAAGGAAACGGACTCT